GGAAGACTCTACCGGCTTTCCAAACTTCACAAAAGGGGTACTGCGCTTCGTCCGATCGTCTCATGGCGCGCCATACCCACATGTAACCTGGCAAATGCATGTTTCGGCGCTTGAACTCCGTTACCTCCGGCTCTGATATGACAGTCCGATCAGCCTCGGATTTCTTGGAGAGATTCACTGGGTTACACATCGAGGAAGATGAGATCATAATATCGTTCGACGTCACCTCACTGTTCACCACGATCCCACAGAGCCTGGCCATTGAAACAGTAAGCAACCTACTTGACACACGCTATACGGAGGCAGCCAAAACACCGCAACGCGGACATCTCATGCGATTGGTGAAGTATTGCCTCAAAACATACTTTACCTTCGAAGGGACGGTGTACGAGCAAACCAAAGGCACACCGATGGGATCACCACTATCCGGTTTCATCGCCGAAGCGATCCTCCAGAGGTTAGAAGCACTAGTGTTCGCCACCCACAAACCAAAGTTTTGGGCGCGTCATGTAGACGACACTTTCGTCATCCTAAAACGGGAAACAGTCACGAACTGCCATGCCTTCCTCAACTCATTCAGACGTTCGTATTTGAAATAATTATATGACGCAAATGGTCCATTTAAACGCAGTCTCTCCGAAGACAACAGAGGTTAATACGAGTTTTTATCATTCTTGAGAATCTGAGAACAATCCGCCAATTCAGGTTCCCCATGTCACTTCTACGATTTATCCTGCGTGAAGGAAATGGGTATTGACACCGGCTCCACTCTCGAATCCAAATACGACCTTGTGGTAATTGTCAGGTCGGCAGTTTACAACTTCTAGGATCGTCAAATATTTCGCAGTCTATACGCGCGAATCAACGACTTCAATGTAGACACCGAATATCCCCTCCGAATAGGCATCGTATTTTGCGTTGGTCTGCCGCGGCGGTCCAGCAATTGCATATTCGAGGGTGACGGATATAACGTGACCCTCGCCAATCGAGCTGAAGAGGCGTTCAAGGACATCGAAAACCCGTATCCTCTAGTTCTCCGGAGTCTGCAGGAAGAGGTATTGCAGTATAACGATCTCCTTGATGGCGACTATGAAGACATATATTACAACCTCACAACCAAATTAATGACTGATCTAGGTCGTTTTCTCGGACGCCTGGAAGCAGATTAGCGAGAGCGCATACTTGTCGCACTAGAACCACCACGGTACCGGCTGCCCGCTTCGGCAACTATCCCAGACTGGACAAATGGTCGCTTTCAAAGCGTGAGATTCCTTGGCCCCAATTGGCACCATATTATTTTGTTGCGTGCTTCTTCCTGGGTTATGAACTGGTAGAGACGCTGGCCATCGCTATACACTTAACTCGCAGTTTCCTACTTGATAAGTCTGGCTGGGTCTGATAACGACAAAGTTGGGTCTGCGCCTTCAGTACCGACCTGGTATTTGGCTAGTCTACGGAGCCAATGCCACTAGGAAGTGATATATTTCAATGCTGATGTCAGCTATGTATAAAATCGTAGTGTGTCAAATAGCTGACACTGATTTAAGCTGGCAACATTGAAACCCACTGAATTATACTCTGTTTTATTTATTTTGAAACAACCTTTACTTCATTTATCATGCGGGCACTTATTATTATAACGACGGGTTCAGCGTCGTTAGTATTAGTGCGATTACATCTGACGTATGTCACCGTGGAATTACCCCCTGTTGAAATCCCCAAGGAAGAACACAATAAGAAGGGCATAATTCTGGAATCCACCCGGAGGAGATTTTATTGTGTACAAAGCCGGAGAAGCTGTCTCGGGTGGTTGTTGCCTCGCAAGGATGATCTCCAGCGTCCTCGCTATCCGGTCCGGCGGCAACTCTTTGTGTCCCGCCTCAGGGCGAGCCCGGCGTCGCCACGCGTCCGCTGTTACAACTCTGTTTGTCAGGGGGTGACAGTGGCTTATAAGAGATTGTCTGCCCGTTCTCTCGTGGCCTGGTTGTCCGCATTGAGATAACGTCACACGATCACTTGACCCTTGGGCCTTATGCTTGCATACGCTCGTGTGCTTATGTGCGAGTATGCGTCTAAGGTCGTCCTGCATATAAAGTCATCGCCTATTATGTGGCCATATTTAACCAACAAAAACATTTCGGCTGGGCTTGACACCTTAGGAAAGCCTCCAAACGTTGCTAGCATTTGATCTGGCTAACATCCTAACAATTATTACTAGGGAAATAAGCTCATAGAAGCAATATATTCGGTACTTTAAATAAAGACCTTGTCCCTGAAAGCCGCTGCATTCGATGCCTGCATGTTGGCTTCTGACTTCCATCTGTCCATTTGTACATTCTGCGTTAGCGCAGTGTGAGAAATGAATATCCAGTGACCTGTGAAATATTGGTAGTGCTATTGCAACTTAGAATATGAATACTATCTATACAGCTTACTGTAGGATGGAAATGAATTATTGCAGATTTTGTTCAGCCTAAGAACAAAGAAGGCGGGCTACATGGTCGGCAGATACAGCCAGCCAATCAGAAGTCAGCATGGGAATGAAAGGTCACAAGCCCATCGACACACAGCCAATTGGGAGCTGGAAGATTCTACCTGGCCAATAATTTTGGAATAAAACCGGCGGAAATAGAAGTAATAAAAGAAGCCCACAAGTAAACTTAGGATTGGCTTGTCTTTAAACTGATAAGAGGTTAGTCTAGTACACCACCTGCCAGTCTTCGTCGGTGTGTATCTAAGAGAATTGTCGTGGCAACTTGTAAAGCATACAGATGACACGTGTATGGTGAGTTTGTTCTTGCAGGCATTTCTGGTCCATTGAAGCAGGAACATGTTAATCAAGAGCAACGTTTTTGTTGCATCGTAGTGTTTTATTACATCAAACAAATAGAGACGACATAGTCGTTTAGGCAGATTTTTCCTGCAGGAAATGAGCTACCGTTGGCCGAAGGTGAGCTGTCAGTTCTGTATTTGCGGTTTCAGTGCCTGTCCTTTATTGGAAGATACTTGATTATGCGAAATGTCCCTGTCGCCTGCAGTCAATCAAATGAAATATCGCGCATTGGTTGATTTCAAGAAGTCGACAAAGTGACGAATTTTAGCGTCACGCGAGAGACAAAGTCTTGGCAGTTAAATACCTTTGTAGCCTGCCGATTCTTTGTATCTATGTCTTTCAACCCATTCCGTTCGCGAATAACTTGTCTTTGTCCTCTTCCTCTACTTTATGATGCATTTTCAATTTGTTTTAGATGCACGCTGTGGCAGGACATACTGAAAAGGTTGGAAGGACTTCGATTTACACCGACGGGGTAGACGAAATGTACAAGTTATCGGTAGGTATAGCACTCTCATCGGCACGATGCATTATCCTATTTTTTGGACACAATTTTTAGATTCGGCTTCCCCACCGGCCCGGATAGCGTATGTAGTGTTTAGACTGCTTCAAACTTATCAGAGTTCCTGTTCAGGCTGACTTTAAAGCTACCGGGACACAATTTTACGCTTAATGTTCGCTCAATGAATAAAGATCGTGGGCTTTTATATATAGTGACCCACACGTGGAATTGGATATGACTGCTTGATGGTGGCTAAAAAGTCAGAAAAAAACGAGTTTGGCCTCCCGTGACTTTTTCGGTTCTGCAAGTTGCCATACAAATACTTTGAAGGGCTTTGTAACAAACTCCAGCGCACAAGGCTACCATAGGGTCATCACATTCCCGACCAGGATATATATATATATATATATATATACAGTAGGTGACATATCTGATGAAAGGTTTAGGAGTGG